TTTTTTTTTTAAGAGAGTGCTTGTACACTAACCCAAGCCATTTGTTGTTGTTATGTGCCATGGAGTCGGTTCCAACTCATAGCAACCTTAAACTTTATAATCTCATTCTACACAGCAAAATGTTCATACTTGGACTAGAATAATCTTTTTTTGTTGTGTTTTAAACTTTTTGTTGTGAATTGAGTGAAGGTTTGTAGAACAGATAGATCATTAGTCCCACATTCAAAAAATCATACACTTCATTGCAGTGATTATAATTTCTTCCATGTACCCATCAGTTAACAGTATTTACCGCTATTCATATTAACGCTTGCATTCCTCCCTGTGTTATCCGCTACCTTCATCTTTCTTCTGCTAACTTACTTCTTGTTGTATATTGTCTTCCCTGACATCCAAGTTAACATGGAGTCTACCCAATATCCATTGAATAATTGAAATAATAATTCTTAAAGTACCTACCTTATTGAGTGGTTTTGAGGACTAAATGATTAGCATGTAAAAATATTAAAACAGTACCTGGTATACTGGATAAGTGTTTAAAAGTGAAACAAGCTCTGAATATGCTACTGTGGACACTACAGGCTTTAGTGTTTGTTTATTTGTGTTTGTTTGTTTGTTTTCTGTAAATACTCTGATAATCAGAAAGATTCAAGGGAACAAGTCTAATCATAGCAGAAGGTATTCCTCCCTCCTCAGAGATCTCATCAGCATCTGGACCTTTCAAAGTTTTCAAAATAAAAATTGCAGCAGCAACTGTGATTGTCTCTTCCCTTTACGCTGAACCTGCTGGGCAAAGTGTCCGTTTCTTGGGTTATGAGAGGTATTGGCAATGCCTGGTTATTGTTGATGCTTCTCAGGGTAGGGAGAGTTTTCATGGGCAACTGAATGATTGGCTAGGTCGTAATTTTCACCTTTTTGCTCCAAGTCTCTTCCCTATACCCATGATTTAGAAGGGTAAGGATTCTTCCCTGTTTGAAGAATGGGAAAAGCCAGAGTATATGTCCAAGAGTGTGGCATTAACAAATCACCTACCCAAAGTGCTCTACCTTTGACTTCTCTTCAGGTGTCCACTGAAAAAAACTGTTCTTTTGTAAAGGAGCCCTGATGGCCATGTGGGCTAAGCATTGGTCTACTGACCACAAAGACATTATTTCAATCCCATCAGCCACTTCACAGGAGAAAGATGAAGCTATCAACCCCTATAAAGATGCACAGTCTCAGAATGCTGAAAGAACAGTTCTACTCTATCCTGTGTTGTTGTTGTTAAGTTCCGTCAGTTCCAACTCATAGGGTGCCCAAGGAGAGGCTGGTGAGTTTGAACTGCCAATATTGTGGTTCACACTGAACTTGTGGTCCAGTGCATTATCCTGAAGTGTCACACCAGGACTGTGCTCTATGCTATATAGGGTCGTTATGAGTCGGAATCCACTTGATGGCAGTGGATTTGGTGTTGGTTCTTCTGTAAGTTAGGATTTAAAGAAATATAATACGAAAGATATAATAGTAGAGTGCTGGTTTGGCACTATAGAGTAAGCACTGGACTGCTAGCCACAAGGTAGTTCAAACTAACCAGCTGCTCCTTGGAAACCATATACAGGGTTGTGATAAGTCAAAAACAACTTGACGGCACTTAATAACAGTAACATCAAATAGGAAAGAACACTTTCCCACCGAGCATGTGACTTAGCTAAGCTGTTTATGTCCTCTCTGCTAATATCCTCATCCATAAACTGAGGACCCATGAGTTTCTCTGACCTATCTTCTCCCGGAAGATCAATGATGGGTGTGAATCCTTCCATGGGTATAAAAGTGAACAGAGATGGGTAAAGATGCTTTTTGGTGTTTTTTTTTTTTTTTTTAATGTTTTATTGTAAATTATGTCATAGTTTACATGGAAGAACATTAGCTTTACATTCATCCTGTCGTATATAATTTCATTGCCATGGTTACAATCCCCTCCATGCATCATCAACCAACCAAAGGGTACACCCTGCAAGCCTGCCCCCCAGGTCCTAAGTACACAGCCCCTCTCCCTCTCTGGTTCTACAGTCTCCATCTCTGGCGTCACTGTTTCTCTGGGTAGGATCCCACACTCCGCTTTTCTCCCTTGATGGTTCCAGGGACCTCCGCTCCTAGACTTCAAAGTCAGTCACTCCCCCTCTTTTGCTACAAAATAATCGTTACATTTCCAACCCTCACAGTCAGTCCTGATAACAGTTATTCACTATTGCACCACAAGAGTCCTATCCCCATATCTTTTCATCAGCCCCGCCCAGACAGATTGGATACTACTTAGTGGAGATTCTATCTTCCTCCACACCCTCTGAATCTAGGTTCCCTCTTGAAAGCTTGTAAGCCAGTCACTTCTTGCCTTTGTAGCCCCCCATTTTGGGTAGCCAATATCTAAGTTGCCCATTCCTGTCTACTTTGTGTATGGAAGGGGTGGTAATGATCCTCGCTATAAAGATTTGTTCCTTTTGAGCTACTGCATCCATAGGTCAAATTCATCAAATTGTATCAGATTACTCTTTTTTTCCTCTTCACTCTTCTTCTAGTTGAGCTCTAATCATCCACTCATTGAAGCCAGGTCAAGTGGGTATTATCTGCAAGTGTGGGTATTTTTCTGCATATGCCCTCTCTTCTTATCAGCTGTACACTTCACTCTCCACTCTAGTCCTCTGTGGCCATGTCACTGACTCTGGGCCCAAGAGTCCCCAGGTCTTACCACACTGCTGGCCAACCAGGTCTCTACCCAGGTTCACAGGAGTCTATTGTAGGGCTTAGCTTGCAGTTTCATTGCTGTTTTTCCCTCACTTCCCATTATCAGTGACGAACATGGTCACCAATCAAAGCGTGTATTCCATTAAGTCTTAGTCTTGGAAGGTAGTTTACACTGAGGGGAGCCCATCACTTGCCTTGATGTCTCCTGGGCATGCAACTTGCTTGTTCTTGTAGTAATCAGACTTCCGTTATTGTTTTGTGTTTTTCCTGTTGGTCTTTCTTTCAAGAAGTATCTTTTGTTCTTCTGGCACTTCCAGGCTGGTTTGCTTGTCCTTTTAAGTGGAGATTTCCCACCTCAGAGGATTCTAGATGGGGTTCAGGATTCCACCTATGGTGTTATGTAATGCAGAGGCTCTGCAGGAAGCCTCTTTCACTGGGCATGTTGTAGCCCCATTTTAACTATTCCAATCAGTTATAGGCAGAAGACAGACTTACAAGCTTTCTATGGTGATATTTCTGGCTATTCCTTTCTCTCCACCTTAAGTGTCTATTTTATGCCAGGGAAACCAAGATTCAAAAGACAGCCAAGCATCTTAACATTATTTTGCCCATTCCAACCATGTCTTAATCCCTGTATCTCAGAGCCCTGTTGTTCCAAGGTTATGCATACATCATTATTTACCTCTGCCCTACTTGGCCCATGCAAACCTACCTAATTGCTTTCCCATCTGCCTTGTTCTTCCATAAAGATGCTTTTGTAAGCATTTCATTCTTCTTTCTCCCAGGAGTCTCGACCTCTACATGTTGTACTGGGCAATGAAGCCTGTGACCTGGACTCCATGGTGTCTGCTCTTGCTCTGGCTTTTTACCTGGCAAAGGTGAGTACCTAGGAACAGAATCCCTTAGAATGCAAAGATTTGGATTCAAAACCCAACTTTTATTTCGGACTGGAAAGACCAGTGTTTAGCCTTGGATAAATTGAATCCCTTAAGTTTGCTGAGTCTCATGTCACCAGTCATCAAATCTAATATGGTACTATTCCACAGTGTTGTTGTGAGGCTCAAATGAATACATGTATCTCAAAGGATTTATAAACCATAAGGCAGTGTTCAGTGTATTATTGAGGTCCTTATAAGTATCAGTGATCCAGTGTGTGTTCCTCCAGTTTGGGTCGGCTCTTAAGGACTCAGAACTATTTTTCTGCAGCATCTAGAACTAGGTCTTTTCCAACTATTATTTGTTGGCCCTTATGTTACTCCTAGAGGAGCTCTGGTAGCGTAGTGGTTACGAATCGGGCTGCGAACCTTAAGGTCAGTGGTTCGAAACTACCAGCCGCTCCGCGGGAGAAAGATGAGGCTTTCTACTCCTGTAAAGATTTACACCTGCGGAAACCCTGTACAGGGTCGCTATGGGTCGAAACCGACTCGATGGCACTTAACAACAACAACAACATGTTACTCCTAAGAAGAGTGAAGGGCAAAAAATGGTACTTCTCAATTTTGTAGCCTGGGTAATTATGACTTTGAGAAAAACAGTAGGTTGCCCAAGATCCATGGCTTCCTTGGTTCCAATAGTCTTGTTATTTTTTCCAAAACATCACAATACCTTCTTCTCATTTTTCTATCTAGACAACTGAGACTGAGGAGATCTTTGTGCCAGTTTTAAATATAAAACGTTGTGAGCTACCTCTGCGAGGTGATATCGTCTTCTTTCTTCAGAAAGTTCACATCCCAGAGTCCATCCTGATTTTCCGGGATGAAATTGACCTCCATGCACTGCACCAGGCTGGCCAACTAACCCTCATCCTTGTTGACCATCATGTCTTACCTAAGTAAGTGGAAGGAAGTTAAGTTGATGGTTCTCATGTGTCATGCTGGACTCTGATGAGTTAGATATAGGGAAAGGAAGAGAAAAAACAATTTTAACTTCTTATTATGATTTGGGTGAAAATTAAGACAGAAGATTAGTTTTTCTTTCAATAATTTGCCTGCGTTTTGTTTCATGACATTGGTTGCAGTCCCACAGTGCACTAGCACTCTTCCCATCTGGGAAGAGGGAAGCATTTTTGCTCATAGAGGACCAGAGACTGATTATAATTGGTGGGTTATATCAGATACAGAAAATCAACAGAAAGCCTTGTCAGGTCTCTAGTTGTAATAAAAATAATAAATAGAAACATGGAGAGTTCAAACTAACGGAGAATTCAGAAATCATTTCAATCTACTTTTGCTATCATTATTTTTAATAGAAATCTTTGAATATGAGTTGCAACTCTTTAATTTTTGAAAAGTTAAGAAAAACATTGTCTACTTAAACTCTTGGTGACTTCAAAATAATGTGTATGGAGAGTCTATAACATATGTGCATACTTATATTAATTCCATCACTTATTTAGGACTGGAAAGACCTGACAAAAAAGTAACATTAATTAGTACAATATTTTCCTAAGTCTGCCTGGCCCCTGTTAATATTAAAAATGTGTATTTTTCTTGGAATAAACTGTGGAATTTAGTGGAACATTGGCAGAGGGCAACATAAGTACATTAGACCATCCATTCATTCACTCATTAATAAACTTTTCTTTAGAGGATAAAGGTGAGACAGAATCTTTATCACCAACAGCTAAGTAAGTGATCATGGTGAGTGATAACTGTCATTCTAGGGGACAGACAATAGTAGGTGCACAAAGGATGGAGTTGTTCATTATACCAGAAGGGGGTAGAAGGCTTCCCAGCAGAGCTGACCCTTGATCTGAGTCCTTCCTGTAAGAAATCTAGGCGTTCACTTAGTGACTGGAGGAGGGAAGGTAGTTAGGAAAGGTGTTCCAGGCAGAGGGAATGATTAATATAAGCAAAAGCAGCCAAGCATGAAATAGCCTGGTGAGTTAGGTGAACTGGAATTTGTTTTGCATGGCTGGAGCAGAAAATGTGAGGGATAAGACTAGAAAGGTAGGCAGGGCAGATCATGGAGGGCTTACAGGCTCTGCTAAGGAGATTGGACTTTATTCTAGGACATTGGGGTGTTACTTTTAATTATTATGTATTCAGGGTTCTAACAATCAAATTTGCATTTTCAAATGACTACTGAGGTAGCTTTGTGGAAGACCATTTTAGAGGGCCTAAGACTGGAAGCAGGTAATTGTTTAAGAGACCGTTAGAATAGCATCATGGCTCCATACGATAAGCAGTGGACTGCGAACTACAAGGTCAGCAGTTTGAGCCCACCAGCCGCTCCACGGGAGAAAAATGGGGCTGTTTCTGCAAAGATTCGCAGCCTTGGTAACCCTATACAGGCTCACTATGAGTCAGAACCGACTCCGTGGTACTTAACAACAACAGTAGCAACAATTAATATACAATGAGGGTTGGAATAAGATAGTGGCAGAGGGTTGCAAAGGAGGGAGTATATAGGAATGGAAAATGAGGACCTGATAACTTGCTTGAAGTTTGGGAATTCTGTGGATAGAGGAGACTGGAGAGATTTAAGATGTTGGGTATCAAGAGAATACAGTTTGAGACTAAATTTTGCAGTAGATACTTCACCAAATTCACTTATGTACTGCTTAAAAGTGACTTACATTATAACATTAAAAATTAAGAGGTAGATGTGTCTATGTGTTTGCCTAAGATGTCTGCATTTTCCTTCATGTGGAAGATTGGTCAGAAGCTACTGGAGTGTCCAACCTATCTTTCTTTCTCTCTTCTCTCCTGCCCTTCCTCTTCCTCCCAACAGAAGTGATGCCGCCCTAGTGGAAGCAGTCACAGAGGTGCTAGACCATCGGCCCATCGAGCAGAAACACTGCCCTTCCTGCCATGTTTCAGTTGAACTTGTGGGGTCCTGTGCTACCCTGGTGACTGAAAGAATCCTGCAGGGGGCACCAGAGATCTTGGACAGGCAAACTGCAGCCCTTCTGCATGGTGAGGGTGACTTTGGGGTTGGGACTTGACTAGTTCCTGGATTACTATTAGAAAAGAGGGATGGATAGTAGAAAAGTCTAGACTTTTCCAGCATGAGCATACCTTTTCAAGCCCTTCAGCCTATACCAAAGGATGAGATTCCTTCAGAGAGCAATTAGACCTTGGACTAGCTTGTCTCTTCCAAATTATTAAGATTTTTTGATAGAATGTGGTCTATTGAAAAGAGACTGTCTCTCTTACTGGGTGAAGAAATCTTCAAAGATTGAAATACTCAAGCTTCCTTTCCACCTTTCCTCCACTTCCCTGCCTACATTCTTGTTTGGATTTGGGAGTTTTTGTTCAGGACACAGTCATTCCCAGTTTTTTATTTTGTTTTCAGTGAGTTTTCTATACAATCTCCTTTGTACTGTGTCCATTTGTTTTGAGGGTAGTTTGTGTTGTAGTGATTGAGTAAAGGACCACAGGATCTGATTTCTGCATCTCCCTTCTTCATAGGAACCATCATTCTAGACTGTGTCAACATGGATCTTAAAATTGGAAAAGCAACCCCAAAGGACAACAAATACGTGAAGAAACTGGAGGTTCTTTTCCCAGATCTGTCCAATAGAAATGACATCTTTGATGCCCTGCAGAAGGCAAAGTTCGATGTATCAGGTATGGAATGTTAAAATGAAAACAGGTGGGCAAGTCTTTTCATTAAATTCTTGAACATCATCAAAACAATTTCAGAGTATGTGAGTCTGATCATACTAACCTATCATTTACTGGATTGTCCTGTCTAGGCTCTGGAGTGCAATAAGGAGGAATATATTAAGAATCTCAGAGGTTTTCACTATAATCAGAGACTATTAGACATACAAATAAAATATACTGAGGAAATACTAAATTATCAGAGTGAGATCAAAGTAATTGGTTATAAAGGCACAAGAAACATTTAGACCAGGCATATAAAAGATAGGTGTCCTGGTGTGGTGCTCTAGCATAGGCACTGGACTGCTAACCACAAGGTTGGTGGTTCAACCCCACTAATCCCATTCCTCAGAAACTCTATACAGGACTATTATGAGCTGGAACCAACTTGGCTACACTTAACAACAACAACATATAAAAGAAAAAAGAAGAGAAGAAAATAATCTTCCATAAATTTCTACACAGCTACCATCTGTTGACATTAAAAAAAAAAAAGCTTATATAGATATAGACATTAAATAAGTTAAACAGGGGCAAAAGTAAAAACATCTCTTCCTTTTACTCTCTCTCCAAAGTCCTTTTCTTTAAAGATAACTATTGTGACTTAATTACTTAATGTGCTTTGTGATTATGTGATTATATTCACAAGCCATTGTTTTACCTACTCTGTGACACATCTTGGTATCCCCAGCTTCTTAGTCTCCATGTTGTGGGCTCTCCTGTTTGATTCCTAATCTTATATCTACTTTCTAGGACTGACCACCGAGCAGATGCTGAGAAAAGACCAGAAGACCATCTATAGACAAGGCACCAAGGTGGCAATTAGTGCAATATATATGGATTTGGAGGTAAGAAATCATCCAATTACGTATATATCCTTGTCCCTCATTCCAAATTATACTCAGTGTATCAACAAATCCTGTTGGCTGACCTCTAAAATATATTTTATCTACTTTTCAGCATCTCCACTGTAACTGCCGCAGTCTGTCACCTCTTGTCTGTACTATTTTAATAGCCTCCATACTGGTTTCCCTACCTCCACTTTGCTTGTTTTAACTTTTTATTATGAATTGAGTGAAGGTTAACAAACAAGATCATCAGTGTTGCATTCAACAAATTATATGCTTTGTTTCACCTCAGTGATTATAATCTCCTCCCTGCAACCACAGTTCTCCTACTTCTTCTCTGTGGCTTCCCTTTTACATGATATATTTCACAAATGAACAAAGCAAAAATATTTGATGCACACATACAAAAATAAAATTATATATTCACTTAAATGTCCTAAGGGCATATTCTGCAAGCCAACCTCCTACCTGCAGGCACACAGCCTTGCTCAGTCCATGGGCCTAGAACCTGCTGCTGCTGTGTCTTTCCATGCTACCACCTCTGCCACCAACTCTGCTGTTGCTGCTTTTCTAAGGAGGGATCTTACATTCCACTCATGCTCTTCCTTCTTGATGGTCATGGGATTATCTGTTCCTGAAATGAAAGATTAACTATTTCCCCCTTTTATTTACACATCTTCCACAATTACAGTTGTGACAATCACAATTGTTCCTCCTGACAGTTACAATTAAATCATGAAATCCTATCATCATCATGACCCCTATCCCCTTTCACCAGATCCATTGGAGAAGAAAAAATCTATTCAGTGGGGATTCTACCTTACCTGCCTCATTCTGAAACAGCATACTCATGAAAGCTTGTAAGCCAGCCACTTTGTGCTGTTGTTGTTGTTATATACCATGGAGTCGATTCCGATTCATAGCGACCCTGTACAGGGTTTCTGAGGCTGTAAATCTTTACGGGAGCAGAAAGCCTTATCTTTCTCCCGCAGAACAGCTGATAGTTTCGAACTGCTGCCCTTGCGGTTCGCAGCCCGATTTGTAACCACTATGCTACTAGAGCTCCTTACTTTGTGCCTTTATAGCCCCCTATTTTTGATAGTCAGTATCTAGATTGCCTGTCCCTATCATCCCAGTGCACTTAGAAAATGAATTTATTCCTTGATATGAAGAGCCCTTCCATCCTGGTTGAAATTTTGAGCAACTGCATTCATAGCAAAGGTCTAATTCATCACATTGTAGCAATTTACACTTGCTCACAGGATCAGTCATCTTTATTGTCATCTGGTCAAGTTCTGGTCAGCTAGTCATCCAAGCTAGGTCAAATGGGTACTAGCTGTAAGTCTGGGGGTCCACACACATCTCCCTACACTTGAGACCAGCTAGCTGCTTTTCTCTCAGTTCTAGCCCCCAGTGGCTAGATCAGTTCCCATGGGCTCAAGAGTTCATATAGCTCCCTAAACTTCAAACCAGCCAACCTTTCCTTTTCTCTCTTTCATCTCAAGGTCAACAAGTATCAATGGAACATGTCCAGACTCAGCCCATGGCTTCTTCACTGCTGTATTTTCCCCACTTCCACTCACAAGTAGACCCAGGTGGTCACCAGCAAGCATATTAGACTGCTCACAGATTCCCTTTGAGTTTCAGTCCTAGGAGGGGGTTTTCACTGGTGGGCTGACTTTTCTTGCCTTAATGCCTCTAAAGCAAACAACTTGCTTAATATTCATACTGCCAACCAGTCTGCTTTTTATCTGTAGGTCTTTCTTTCAAGAAGAATCTTCTGTTCTCCCAGCATGTCTTACCAAGTGGGAATATCCCAACTCTGAAGATTCTGAGTGAGGCTCAGGATTCCACTAAGCCCCAGAAAGCCTATTTCCTGTTAAGCCTGGGCACATTTTAATTCCTCTTTCAGCAAATCCAATCAGTTATAGGCTGAAGATGGGCTTCCAAGCTTTTTGTCATCAGAATTCCCAATCTTCATTTCTATCACATATAAAGGTCTATTTCACAATAGAAGGCAATGGAAACCAATATCCACAAAACTGTCGAGCACATAAACATTTTCCCCCTCCTTTACCCACTCAGACTATGTCTCGATCCATGTATCTACTCACAGAATACTGTTGTTTCAAGGTTGTGTATAAATCACCATTTACCTCTATCCCATTTAGCCCATGCATACCTCTCTCTTCCTCTATCTTCATTGTTCATCTTCCACCCTTCCTCTTCTTGTGTATTGTCCACCCGCTCCTTGTATATGGCCCTCCCTGTCACCTGAGCTAACATGTGTCTACCCTCTAGCCTGTGAATTACTCTTCCCTTCCTCCCATCCCTGGTAACCATTAAAGAATGTTTCTTTTAGCATGGAAACCTTTTCTTAAACTTCTACAATAATGGTCTTATACGGTATTTGTCCTTTTGTGATTAACTAATTTCACTCAGCATAATGCCCTCCAGGTTCATCCATGTTATGAGGCCAACACCCATTCTTTCTTTTTTATTTTTTTGAAAAGTACCCTTTTATTGAGAGGTAAGACAAGTATATTTACAATATTCAATTGTTAGATCATATAATTTAGCCAGGACACTTAAAAGCAGCAATATTCCAGGAATTACAATTTATAAGGGAAAAAGAAAAACACTCCAAATATGTTTATGTTACAGAAAATACATTTAAACAATGCCAGAAACACTTAAGGCTAAGTAGTATTAGCCCTTTTCCTCCCGTTGTATGGAAATAATTAAAGTACATTTTTGCCATCAACACAGAAGGCTAATTTTTGGAAAGGAAGAGATAATACAATGTATAGTGCTGTCTGTCAGACAAAATGGAGCCTAAATAATGGTGCTGAAAAAGAAACACACAATGCTATCAAGCAGTCACAAACTCATATTGATATTAACTGTGGGCTTATTAAACCTGAAAATTGCTCCAGCCTCTCCATCTTACTGAGGACTGAGAGCTTTTCAAATCTTCCTCATGCTTCTGAATAATACTTTCTGAAACTAGATGAATGAAAAAGGGATCTCTCTCTGTCACAGTGCAAAGAACATTTCGGTAGAAATTTATGTCTACAAAGGAGTTAACTAATACCAGTGTTTCTTAACATTAACAGATACCATTCTTACTCTAAAAAGGCAGAATCATCTAACCACTTAAATAATACAGGTCAGTCAAAAATATGTATATTAGAGCCTTACAGGGCATCTTGTTAAAGTCAATCCCCAAAGTGTACATATATATATATATATATATATATATATATATATATATATATATGTTGTTGTGTGCCGTTGAGTCGGTTCCGACCCATAGCGACCCTGTACAGTGTTTCTGAGGCTGTAAATCTTTACGGGAGCAGAAAGCCTCATCTTTCTCCCGCAGAGCGGCTGGTAGTTTCGAACTGCTGACCTTGCGGTTGGCAGCCTGACTTGTAACCATTACGCTACCAGAGCTAATAATATATATATATAGAAGGTCCCAGATAGAGGTGGGAGGAAATGTGAAACAAAACTCAAAATTATTTCTTTGAAAAAACTGGTCAGAAAGAGACAGGAGGAACCTGAGACTGTGGTCCTCAGCTACCCTTCAGACCTGGAAAGATACTCACCCTCATGGTCCAATTTTCAACCAAGCAATATATAGGTATATAGGGGGGACAACAACACTAGAAAGCTGCATGTAAAATTGATGGTTTCTGTAAACATTTTCACTCAACACATAATAAAATGTTTTATTTATAAATAGAAGGAGAAAAAGGAAATTTTAAAGGACAGCTTGATAAGGCAAAGTGTGAAATGAAACGTGCAAAAACCTGAAGTTAGAAAACCAAAGAGGAAGAGCATGCTCAGCATTCCTCAAGAGGAAAGAACTGAAGAAAAAATTCAAGTCTCCACTTGCTTGAAGCATTCTATGGACAAAATATTGAATGATGTAGAAAGCATCAAGAGAAGTTGAAAGGAATACACAGAGTTACTGTATCAGAAAGAATTGTTTGACATTCAGTCATTTCAGTAGGTAGTATATGATTAAGAACTGATGGCATTAAAGGAAGACATTCAAGTTGCACTAAAGGCATTATGGAAAACAAGTCACAAGGACTTGACAGAATACCAATTGAAATGTTTCAACAAACTGATGCAGCATCGGAGTCACTCACTCTCTGTGTCCAACCATTTGGAAGAGATCCATATTTGTGCCTATTCCAAAGAAAGGTGACCCAACAGAATGCAGAAATGATCAAAAATTTGATTAATATCACACACAAGTAAAATTTTACAGGAATTAGATAATTCAGAAACATTTGCAGCCGTGCATCAGCTGGGAGTTGTCAGAAATTCAAACTGGATTCAGAAGAGAGTGTGGAATGAGGGTTATTATTATTGACGTCAGATAGATCTTGGCTGAAAGCAGAATAGCAGAAAGATGTTTATTTGTATTGTATTGACTAAACAAAGGCATTCAGCTGTGTGGATCATAACAAGCTATGGATAATGTTGCAATAAATGGGAATTCCAGAACACTCACTTGTGCTCATGTGGAACCTATACATACAACAAGAGACAGTCATTCGAGCAAAACAAAAGGATACTGTGTGTTTTAAAGTCAGGAAAGGTGTGCAGTTTAATATCAGGAAAGGTCTACATCAGGGTTGTTTCTTCTCAGTATACTTATTCAAGCTGTATGCTGAGCATATAATCTGAGAAGTTAGACTATATGAATTAGAACATGGATTCAGGATTCGAGGAAGGCTCAGTAACAACTTGCAATATACAGATGACACAACCTTGCTTGCTGACCGAGGACTTCAAGCACTTAATTATGAACATCAAAGAATACAGCCTTCAGTATGGATTACCACTCACTGTATGGACAACAAAATTCCTCAGAACTGAGCCAGTAAACAACATAATGATAAATGGAATAAAAAAATTTAAGTTGTCAAGGATTTCATTTTACTTGGGTCTATAATCAATGCTCATGGAAGCAGCAGTCAAGA